TTTGTATTTTGGGGAAGGAAGGATCCTGATTAAATATATATTTGATATATTATTAAAACTATGTTAAATATATAAACATGTCAGGGCTGATTAAATATTTGTTCAGGTGTTTATAATTTTGTTTAGATAATTTTTATTGTAAACTTAATCACAACAAATACTAACAATTTAAGGGGGAGCTCCTAAGAAATGTGTAACCATATAATCAGGACTGTTTACATCAAAATCAAAGACAGTCACGCATGGTGCTGCACACCACTACATCTAGCTACCAGAGAGTCAAGAAGCTGGCGGATTTTCTGAGCTGTAAGAGTTTATGTCTAATCCAGAGAAAGAACTATGGAATCTGAATGTAGATCAAAGCATACTATCTTCTCTCTCTCTCTTTTTTTTCTTTCTCATGGTTTTTCCTTTTGGTTTTGATTCTTCCTCACAACATGACTAATGTGGAAATATGTTTATTTATTTATTTTTAAAAATTTTTTATTAATTTATTTTGATTTATCAACAATCCCTTCCATATGCTTTTGAGTTAAAAATTTTCTCCCCCTTCCTCCCCATCACCCTCCCCAAGACTGTGCACAATCTGATATAGGCTATACATATACATTCCTATTAAACATATTTTCACATGATGTTGTAAGTAAAAATTAGAATCAATAGGAGGAACCACCAGAAAGAGGAAACAAAACTCAACAGAAGAAAAAAAAATAGCAATTCAAATTCCCTAGTTCTTTCTTTGGGTGTGGATAGCATTTTCCATCACGAGGCCTTTGGAGATATCTTAGACCTTTGTATTGCTGGGAAGGGTTAAGTTTATCAATATTAGTCATTGCACGATGTGGCTGTGACTATGTACAAGGTTCTCCTGGTTCTGCTCACTTTACTCAGCATCAGACCATACAAATCCTTCCAGGTTTTTCTGAAGTCAGCCTGATCATCATTTCTTAGCGCACAATAGTATTCCATCACATATACCACAACTTGCTCAGCCATTCCCCAATTGATAGGCATCCTCTCAATTTCCAATTTTTTGCCAACACAAAAAGAGCTGCTATGAATATTTTTGTACATGTGGATCCTTTTCCCATTTGTATGATCTCTTTGGGATATAGCCATACAAGTGCTATTGCTGGGTCAAAGGGTATGCACATTTTTATAGCCCTTTGGGCATAGGTCCAAATTGCTCTCCAAAATGGTTGGATCATTTCACAACTCCACCAACAATGCATGTGTTCCAATTTTCCCACATCTTCTCCAACATTTAGCATTTTCCTGTTTTGTCATGTTGGCCAATCTGAGGGATGTGATGTGGTACCTCAGAGTTGTTTTGATTTGCATTTCTCTAATCAATAGTGATTTAGAGCATTTTTCATATGACTATAGATGGCTTTAATTTCTTCATCTGAGAACTGCCTCTTCATCTCCTTCAACCATTTATCAATTGAGAAATGACTTGTATTCTTGTAGATTTGACTAAATTCTCTGTATATTTTATAAATGAGGCCCTTATCAGAGAGACTGGTTGTAAAAATTCTTTCCCAATTTTCTACCTTCTAATCTTAGTTGCATTGGCTTTGTTTGTGCAAAAACTTTTCAATTTAATGTAATCAAAGTTATCCATTTTGCTTTTCATAATATTCTCTATCTCCTGTTTGGTCATGAATTCTTCTGCTCTCCATAGATCTGATAGGTAATAAACTATTCCTTGCTCTCCCAGTTTGCTTATAGTATCAGCCTTTATATCTAAATCATGAACCCATTTTGACTTTATTTTGGTATATGGTGTGAGATTTTGGCCTATGCCAAGTTTCTGCCATACTCTTCCAGTTTTCCCAATGGTTTTTTTTCAAAGAGTTGGTTCTTATCCCAGAAGCTGGGGTCTTTGAGTTTATCAAATAATAGGTTTAAAAAAAAAAGGGTTTATGTCTATTTCTCGTCTGTACTGTCCCCCACCAGGATTTTGAAGAGGGGGAAATAACCAAGTTGCCTAAGGAGTGAACCTGCCTACTTCCAGCCAGGGAGAGATAGGAAGTCAGGTAAAGTCAATGAGTATTTATTAAGCACCTACTGTTTTTGTGCTGGATAGGGAGAATTGGACTTTAAAATAAAAATATATAAATTTGTTCAGTTGTGTCTCACTCTTTGTGACCTCATTTGGGATTTCCTTGGGAAAGATACTGGAATGGTTTGCCATTTCCTTCTCCAACTTATTTTACAGAGGAGGAACTGAGACAAACAGGGTTGTGACTTGCCCAGGGTCACATAACTACTAAGAGTCTGAGGCCAGATTTGAACTCAGGAAGATGAGTCTTTCTGACTCCAGGACCCATACTCTATCCACTGTGCCACCTCAAAGCTAATAAAAATTAATAAAACAATAAAAAATACTTAACTTACTTTGCTTTAGGTCTTTTTTTAAAAAGTACTAGTTAGTACTCTTTTCTTTCCTGGGATCTCCAGTTCTTCTACAACCCCAGAAGCCAGATCCCCAGCAACCTTTTACCCACCATTAAGGTTATGATGATCTTAGGCAAGTCAATTCGTGCTCACTAGACCTCAGTTTCCTCATTCATAAAATAAGAGGTTTGGATTAAATTGCCCCTGACGTCCCTTCAAGCTTTAAATCTAGAACCTTTTCTTCTTTCCTCAAACCTCCCATGATCCTGCCTCCCTCAAACCTCTTGTGATCCTCCCTCCCTCCCATTCTCTCAGCTGAGAACCCTGCCTAATATTTTATAGGAAAAAATGAGACCATTTCTCTGTGAGCTCCCTCTTCTCCCCTCTTCCTCATCTCTTTCTGTCACTATTTCATCCCTCTCATATGATGAGGCGGCCTTAGTTCTTACCAAAATTAACCTGTTCAAGTGATCCCATTTCATCCAATTCCTCCAACTTAATGTCAAACAGAGCATTTTGTATTTGATCCTGGAGGCAATAAGGAGTCAGCCTCGCTCTATCCCTTATGATCAGTCTTTCCCTATCTATTAGCTCATTCCCTACTGCCTACAAACAGGCCCATGTCTCCCCATTCAGAAAAAGCCCTCACTTGATCCTTTCATCCCCACTATTGTCCTATATATTTTCTGCCCTTTTTAGCTAAATTCCTCAGAAAGGCAGTCTACTCCCTTCTTAATCTCTTACCATCTGACTTCTGGTCTTATCCTTCCACTGAAACCGATCTCTCCAAAGTTACTAATGATCTCTTAGTTGCTAAATCCAATGACCTTTTCTCAATCCTCATTCTCCTTGACCTCTCTAAAGCTTTTGACACTATTGATCACTCTCTTCTCTCTGCGTTTTTGGAAAATTACTCTCTTCTGGTTCTTTTCCTATTTATCAGATTGCTCCTTCTCAGTTTCCTCTGCTGGATTCTCGTCTAGATCATGGCTTCTAAAGGTGTCCCACAGGGCTCTGTCCTGGGCCCTCTTCTCTTCTCCCTCTATACTACTTCACTTGGTGATCTTAATCAGTTCCCGGGCATTTAATTACCATGTCTGTGCTGATGCTTTTCAAATCTGCCTATCCTGACCCAATCTCTCTTGCTGACCTTCAATCTCTCATTTCCAACTGCCTTTCAGACATCTCATATTGGATTGTCCATTAGACATCTTAAACTTAACATGCTCAAAACAGAACTCTCTCTTTCCCCCTATACCCTCCCCTGCTCCCTTCTCTCCTCTGACACTGCCACCACTGTAGTACAGACCCTCCTCACTTCATGCCTGGACTAATGCATTAACCTGCTAATGGGTCAGTCTGCCTTAAGTCTCTCCCATCCAATCCATTCTCCTTTCAGCCACCTAAAGTTCAGGTTAGATCATGTCACACCCTCACCCCTTTCTCAATAAACTCCAAAGGCTCCTTATTGCCTCCTGGTTCAGATACAAAATGCTCTGTCTGGTATTCAAAATCCTTCACGACCTAGCCTCCTCCTATCTTTTCAGTTTTTTTACACCTTTCTTCAGATCCAGTGACAATGAACTCCTTGCTATTCCTTTAACAAGGCACTCCATTTCTCCCTGCTCCTGACATTTTCTCTGGCTCTCTCCAATGCTTGGCATGCTCTCCCTCCTCAACTCCCTCTGCTGACTTCTCTGGCTGAAATCTGATTGATAACTCTTACAAGGAAAGATTTTCCATGTCTCCTGTGTGACTCTAAACATTGGGCTATAAGCCAGAGTGTGGTTATCTATGTTGACCTGAGAATTTAGTCAGTTCTCAGGAAAAGATGTGCTCTGGGAACCTGGCCAGTTCATGGGAACATATCAAGTTAATATTTTAAGATGTTTGGTTGCTCCAGAAAGTTGGCCAGTTTCTGGACCAAGTAAAACATCTACTAGAATCATGGACACCTCTGGCAGGGGGCCTTCTTTGTTAGAGGCCCTATTTAAATCCTAATTGGGAAAGCCATCTTTGGATTCTCACCCATGGAGAGGATGCTCTGCCTGGGACTTTCCCAATTGGGACCCTGAAAGCTGTACCCTGGGAATTCCCAGCTTGGACTTCAGGTGTTGGTGCTTCCTCGAATTGGTGATGTTTTCTTATATTATTGCTATCCTTTGTATTCTTAGCCCTACTATAGTCGTATTGCTAATTGTATGTTGCTGTAAATCTAGCTTTTCTTTACCTGCATTATAATCTTAATTAAAGCTATCTTCATTTCTCTCTCTAGGAGTATGTCTTATTGTAGGAGCGAATCCGAACCGCATTTTTCTTCCTCAATCACCCAAAATCCTATCTTTTACAAGAAGCATTTCCCAAGCCCTCTTAATTCTAGGGCTTTCCCTGACAAGGACTGAACAAGGAAAAGGAGGGAATGACTTTGAGCCACACACGTGCTCATCCCACTCTCCCCGCCTCTCCCGGGGCTCTCCGGCCTCTACAGAAGCCATTGGGCAGCTCCCGAGAGGTTCCGCCCACGGGGGAGCCAATGGGAAGAGAGGATCGCCCCTTTCGCTTGGTCTAGGTGGACTTCAGTGTGCCTACGATCAGTTTCAATGGCGATGAGCTTGCGCTTGAGTCCCGGGCCCCACAGCCTGTGGGACGAGCCGCTGGTCATCTCCGTGCACGGTCTGGCCCCGGCCCAGCCGGTCACCCTGCGCGCCTCCCTCCGCGATGAGAAACGGGAACTCTTCCAGGCCTCGGCCCGCTACCAGGCGGACGCGGGCGGCCAGCTCGACCTGGCGCGGGCGCCCGCCCTGGGGGGCAGCTACAGCGGCGTGGAGCCCATGGGGCTCTTCCGGACCCTGCGGTCCGAGACACCCAGTGAAAGGCTGGTGAAGCGGGACGTGCAGACCCCTTTCCTCGTGGACCTGAAGGTGTACGAGGGTCACGACCCCCAGCCCACCAAGGTGTTGGCACAGGTGGTCCACGAGCGGGGCTTCCTGGGGCCGGGGGTGAAGAGGATCCCGGTGCGAGAGGGCAGCGTGAGGGCCACCCTCTTCCTGCCTCCAGGTGCGTTGCTGGAACTTCACACTTGTCATTGCAATCCCGGCCTTACGCCTTCTCTTTTTCCCGGAATGTAGTGGCAGTAGATGTTTCAAATTCTCCCAAAGCATTCCCCAGGCTCCCTGATTCCTCCCAGCAGGATTTTCTGTATCCCATTTTGTAGATCATTCCTTTTGCTTGGTAGCAGTACACCTCTCTTAGGAACCTTAAGCAGATTCTATTGATTTCTTGTTAGGTGCCTGAAGAAGCAGTTCCATTTTTTAGATAATTGGGTACTGTGGAGAGAGCATTTTCTTTTTCTTTTCCTTTCTTTCTCTTTCTTTCTTCCTTCCTTCCTTTCTTTTTTTTAAAAAGCATTTTCTGCAGAGGGACAGTATCTCCAATTAAATCCTATCTCCGCCACTGACAACCTGTATGACTTTGGACAAATCATTTACCCTCTTTGGCCTCAGGTTTCTTAAATGCAAAATAAGGGGAATTGGAGTCAATGACCTTTGAGGACCTTTTCAACTTTAAACCTATGTTTTTATGACCATTTGAGTCAGTGATGCTCTGCTTGCTTTCTTAAGGACCAAATTGGCTAGGAGATTGGAGCCCAAAGAATCCCTAGACTGGATACTTGTCATGTATTAGATTATACACATACAATTCACTCAAAACAGATGATTGTCTCTTTTCTTCCTATAGATCTTCTGTTTCTCTCACAACTTAAGTTAATTGTTATTGATCATACTGAGGAGAGGTTTAAGACTTAGGGAAAATTAAAAATCATGGGTGAGGAAGGCCAGGTTTGTTTTTAATGTAAATTGTGAAATATGAAACCATCTACCCCCGTTAGGGAGACCTAACACTGCACTGTATGTTTAGGGACATTTATCTATATAAAATTTAGTTTGCACATAAAATGATCGCCTTGGTATTCATAGGTAGAGTTGTGAATGCATGTGAGAGAGACAGGCAGGAGAGCAGAGGGACAGAGTACAGAAAGGAAACCTTCTCCCAGATTTTTTCTGTGATTTTTCAGTTTTTGAAAACCAAAGGAATTCTCAGTTTCTCCCCCTCCACCTTTACAATCCTTTCTGCACACCATTGCCAGGCATGTCTATCTTTTTTTTTTTTTTTTGGTTAAGGCAATTGGGGTTAAGTGACTTGCCCCGAGTCACACAGCTAGTGTCAAGTGCTTGGTCTGAGGCCGCATTTGACCTCAGATCCTCCTCCTGACTTCAGGGCCGGTGCTCCATCTACTGTACCACCTAGCTGTCCTGCATGTCTATCTTTTGTCTATGTCTATTCCTAACTTAAGATACTCTCAATGGTTTACCTATTGTCTTTAGAATAAAGTCCAATTTCCCCATCCTGGCATTCAAAACACTCCACAATTTAGCTCTAACAAACAGAGGATGACCGCAGAAATATTTTTTCTGGCCCATTGTGTTTTATGCTTCTATTAATACATTGCAATATTAATGCAACTAAAGTGGATAGTGTTGGACTTAGCCTCTGGAACATCTGAGTTCAAATTCAGATTCCCACCTCCTAGCTGTCTGACCCTGGGCAAATCACCTAATCTGTCTGCTTCAGTTTCCCCATATGTAAAATGAAGATAATAGTACCTACTTCCAAGGATTGTTGTGAGGATCAAATTAGATGATATTCATGAAGTGCTTCGTAAACTTTGAAGCTTAATATAAATGTTAGCTGTTATTATTATTTTGACTTTTCACTATATATTGTTTAACATATTATTGCTACAATTATGGCTAATGAGATGTAACTATGTGCAGCCATTTGCAAGCAAGCACCTAAGAAATCTTTCAACATTTCTGCAACATCAATCAACAACCACGTGGCAGACACTTTACTAGGTGCCGGGGATACAAAAATGCCCATCACTGCCCTGAAGGAGCTTACAGTCTATGAGACAAAATAATATGTACACAGACAATACAAAATACATTCAAATGAAACCGTTCACTTGTTAGTTCTGGAAAGTGATTTAAAGACCCTTCACTAAAGCCCCACTTTGGGCCTCCTGGTGACCCTGAGTTCTCCAGGGCTTTGCTGATATGCTGTAAGATCTGGCAGCTCTTACTAAGCTTGTCAGATTTTAAGTATGGACCCCAATAATGCCCAGCCTCATTAAGTTAAGAGATTTATCATCACAACGTTGGCCACCAGAGGATACTTATTTTTGGGACCTGAACAACTCATGAGACTATTTTTTAAAATGGTGAACCATTTTGGTCTGTGCTGGAAGAGACATTGCTCACACTTATAAAATCTCATAAATGTGGAAGTTAATTTTAAGAATCAAAGACATGGTCTGAATCTCTTGTCTTTACTTTCAGGTCCTAGAAGTATAATTTAAGTTTGTCCTTTGGGACTAAAGAATCCTTCCAATTTGTTACCTCTTCCAGGAGCAGGGCCTTTCCCAGGGATCATTGACCTGCATGGAACTGGAGGTGGTCTCTGTGAATACAGAGCCAGCTTGCTGGCTGGACATGGTTTTGCTGTGCTTGCTTTGGCTTATTTCAGATTTGAAGATCTCCCCAAAGAGTTGACTGATCTACATCTGGGATATTTTGAAGAGGCCCTAGATTACATGTTGCAGCATCCAGAGGTATGGGTATGAATGTATAGTCTGAGTCTGGAGCAAATGAGATTGGGAGAGGGAGGAGAGTAGGATAAATATGGAAACATAAAGATTTATTTATATATCTTTATATATCTAAAAGATATATGTCATATATCTTATATCTTATATATCTTTATATATATAATCTCTATCTTTATATAGATAATATATGTAAGATGTACATAATATATATGTATATATAAATATCCAGAAGTTTCATCAAGAGAACTGTTTTGTGGTAAAACAGCGAAGGTTCCTGAGGCAATTATTCACATTAATCTCACCAATCCCTTGGGACATCATTTAATCATCTCCCTTTGGAACTCTTGATTGTAATAGTAAATACCTTTCCCATCTTTGATCATCCTCTTTACTCCAACAGAACTAAAAAAAACCCTCAAAAACACACACAAAAAAACCCCATGAATAAAAACCAAAACCAAACCTAATTCTCAGACTTTCTTAGCTCATTCTGAACTTCAACATTCCTGACACCATTCTTATGCAACTATGCCATATTTCTGTATTTATCCTTTATTACTACTTTTGCTTCCATCTTTTGTATGATTCTTTTTAAAAAATATAATTTGGTTAATGGTAACCCACATTAATCTTTCAAAAATGCCCTCTTTTTCCTCAGTATTGTATATTGTTTTATATATTCTATATAAAAGAAACTTATCATTGTGTATGTATTAGGACCCTGAACTTACTCTTCTAGATTGATGCTAGCTATATCTCACTGGGGTCCTGGGGTATCCCTGAAGGACTGGAGGTGCCTTCCTCTAATGCTGTTGGCTCAAGCCTCCATTTTGGTGGTATTAACTGCTAGTGATTAGCTCCTCAGGTGCTTTTAACCAATTGGCATCAATTAGCTTTGATGAGCAGATATTTACTTCAAAGATATAGCAAGAATGGAAGTACAATTATGCCTTCTACATCCTGATTTAGAGGTTTTGATGTCACAGGTAGGCATAAGAAATTTAATAGGAATTTTGGGGGAGTTTTGCGGAGGCTGCAGAGGACACATGAAGGCCGGCAGACGACATAGAAAAAGTCTGGAAACTCAGAAATGCATAACCTATATGTATAGTATTGTATAACATCAACAATTTATCTTTTAATGCCATAATAATTCAGGTTTCTCTGGTACAAAGGGAGGGCCAAAAAACTTTATGCAGATTTTCCAGATCGAGGGGGCACCTTGCTCCTACCCCCCGAGATAACTACAAACATTTGCCCCCAACATTTTAGGGCACATTCTCCCTTATACTATCTTGGTCCCCGAAGGCTATGCTCCAGTTTAAATCAGTTTCTTTACATTGCTCCTCTCACCGTGTTCATTTACACATGCAGCACAGATACCTGATGTGTCATTTCAGCTATCTCTGGCTGTGCCTCTCTGGTCCTTCCTCCGGCCTCACTCTCACTGGTGGGCTAGGTGACTGTAAAACCCAGCATGGACCTAGCTCCCAGTCCTCTAGTGGCTCACCATTCTGACCTTTCGAAGCTCACTGAGTCATAGCTATTTCCATTATTCTTTCACCGTTGTTCAAATCCCCACTAGGCAGGCAAAAGGAAGCATAAGGGACTCCTTGTTGCTATTTAGTGCCTTTGGAATGGATCCAGTTCCATCTCCACAGCTGTTTTTGTTTTTTTTTTTTTTTAGGCAATTGGGGTTAAGTGACTTG